CAATTATAAAATACATGGTCTTTTGTGTCTTGTTTCTTTTGCATAGCTTGCTGTTTTTAAGGTTCATCAGAATCTCATTTTTAGTAGCCAAAGAATACTCCATTATATAGCTGTATCGCATTTATGCATTCTTCCTAAATGTGCACTGTTTCTGTTTGGCTATTATCAGATTAATAGTGGTGCTATGAAGATTTGTATACAAATTCTTGAGTAGATACAATGTCTTCACTTCCCTTGGCGTGTTCCCAAGAATGGGCTTTTTGGCTCACCTAGCAACTCTGTGGTTAACTTTGAAGAACAATCAAACTGTTTGCAACCTTTTGCCTTCCTGAAAGGAATGTGGATTTCCTATTTCTCCATACCTTGAATACTACTTATTATTGTTGGTTTATTAGAGCTAACCTACACATGTGGAATGGTACCATTGTGGTCTTGATTTGCGTGTTCCTAAATACTTATAGTGTGTGGCATATGTTTATTTACTGTTACATGAATTGTTCTGTACCAAGATTAAAATATCCCTACAATATACTTATACCATATGAAATTTCAAAAGTTATTGAATTTGAAGATGTTACACATTTTCTTTTATTAAATTCTCTTCCAAATTTACTTACTTTGATGGTTTCCTCCCTGTAGATCATGTATGTAGTATATAAAGATGTATACATATGTGTTGGTATGCCAGAAAGTATTTATTAATAGTGCCTGTTGCTTGATAAATAAAAAGAATTTTTAAAAAAAGAATAGCTCAGCGGTACAAAGACATATTTAACCATGAACTACTTAAGCAGTACTTTGGGTTGGTTAGAGTTATGGTGAGGAGTTGCAAAGCACTTTTATTTTGTTTATTTACTCATTTTTACTCATTTTTATTTTTTGGTACCAGCAATCAAACTCATGACCTTACACTTACCAGGCAATTGGCTATGTGCCTGAGCTATGTCTCAAGCTCAAAGAGCAATTTTAAAGAGGGATCGATTTAAAGTAACAAATGAAACATGGCATTGAACCAGGGAAGAGAATCCTGCTTTCTAAGCCAACTAACTTTAGTTTCTTCAAAAGTTAATCACTGGGTTACTGTATGAACCAGAAAGCTCCTTTCAAGGATATATCCAAGTTGGGTAAAAATAACTCCTTATAAAAGTCTATATACAAATATTCATAGCTGCTTTATTCATAATAGTTGGACAGTAGAAATAATCCAAATATATTCTAACTAGCTGACAGTCTTGATTTTTATTTATTCCTTTAATTGTGTGCATGCTATGCACAAGACAATGTTAAATGTTAGACATACAATTATATAAAAAGGGCAGATGTGTTTTCCCCCAGGAAATTTAGCTATTTATGCTAGATATTTGCAGGTGTGAAGAATCCTACAAAGTAGAGATGTAATTTGCTTTAGAAATTTAGGGGATTTATAGTAATCTAAGAATGTCATTAAAATGCCATAAAGGGCAGGGCGTTACCTCAGTGGCATAAGTGCCTGCCTGGCAAGCATGAGGTTGTGAGTTCGATCCCTGGTACCAAAAAAGAAAAAACCATATAAAATATATACACATATATATCTCAAATCACTGAGCAGAATGTAAATACTATATATCAAAAACATGTACTAATAAGAATGAGTTAAAAAATGACAAGAATGATGGAATATGTATGTTTGAAGCAAGGGAAATTATTTTGATGGGAATTAATACTAACATGTTCTTTACTATAATAAATTTTAATTTAAATATCACCATGTATTTTGATCAGACCTCATGCATAGTTTAACAGCTATATGATTTGTCTTTGTACATTTAATGTATTTGCTTTCTTTCTTTCATCTTTCTCGTGGTACTGAGGGTTGAATTGAGGGCTTTCAGACAGAGCTACATCTCTAGCCCTCCTTTTTAAGTTTTTTTGAAATTTTGAGGCAGCGCCTTATTAATTGCCCAGGTTGGATTCAAATTTGTGATCCTCATAGCTCAGCCTCTCAGAGTCTTGGGAATACAGGTAGGCACCACCATACCCAAATGTCTTATCCTTTTATCAAGTCTAAAATTGACGTATAAAATTTATTTGTAATTTTTTAATGATCATTTGCATTCCTGCAGTGATTATCCTAAGACTTAAACCCTCGCATGTATCTGTAATGTTTCCTTAGCATAAATTTTTAGAAGTGGGACTGTGGTTCAGTGATGTATAGTTATCATAGACAAAGATTTCTGTCATTTGAACTCCTACTTGCATTATATGGGAATGCTCCTTTTCCTATACTCTTCTATATGGGATATCAGTTTTTCATGTGTATCTTCATTCTTGCTTTAGAAAACTTGGCTGACTTTTATAACTAAATTCCTGATTCTTTGAATTATGTACTATGTATGCTAATATAAGTAGGCAGCATTGATAATTTTTAGAATTACCCGAGGGTAAACTTTATGATGCATTGAAATAGATGATAAAGAAAATCTTAACTTTTATTACTTTTTGCAACAGAAATTTACATTTATTTTCTTGTATTATGAGATAGTGAGTTGTGATAAAGAGTCTTCAGACCTTTTCTGTACTCAAGTACACCCTTCATGTATATCCCTAAGTGAAGCCAGGCTAGGATGTAACTATTTCATGAAGTACTCTACTCTTCGCCATATGTGACCTGTCTATTCCTTTGTGGCTCCACTTAGTATTTCCAAGGGTTGAAACTCAGAAATTAATGCAGAGACCCGCATATTCTTTATTCCTATATAAAGTGTCTGCCCAGTCTATCCTGGAAGTTAGGTTAAATATAGTCAAAGAAAACTTCAAATCTCTTTTATTTCTCTGTCTCAAAGCTTAGTGCCACAACCAACTTAGGCACTAAGCACCAGCCATTATACTGGTTTATCTCATCTGACTGTAGTGAAAGCTTTTACTTTGAATGAGTTAAATAATAACAGAATACAATCTTAATACCAAAGCAGAGAGCATACATTAAAGTGCTTACTCATTGCTAAGAACTATCCTAAGTCTTTTTAAAACACCTTCCCTTACCTTATAAGTTAGGCATTCATATTCATTTTGCCAGTAAGGAAAACTTAGTCACACAAATGTTTAGTGGGACAGGCAAGGTGAAAACCTAGATTTATCTGATGTGAAACATCTAGTCCCTTGCAGTCATGCTAAATCTAAGATTCTCTTGTATTAAGATAATTAAGAAGAATTAAGATAAAATTCACATACAATGAAGTTTACCAATTTAAAATGTACAATTCAGTGGCTTTTACTATATCCACAGGGTTGTATAACCATCACCAAAATCAAGTTTAGGATGTTTTCAGTGTGAAAAGAAACTTAGTACCCTCTGGCTATTACCCACACCATCTCTGTCTCCATCATGCCCATCACCACACTTACACGACTAGTAATGTCTTTTCTGTCTCTGTAGATTTGTCTATTTTGGACATTTATATAAATGTCCAAAAGTTGATGCTTTATGGTAGTTTCTTCTATATGGCATAACATTTTCAGGATTCATGCATATTGTAGCATGTAGCTCTGGTTTTTTTTTGAATACCCTATGGGGTGTTCTTTAATTTATCTACTTAATGTTGTTTTTGTTGTGCAGTGTTTTCCTGGTAAGTTTTTAGGCATTATGTAGTTACCAGCAGAGTATATTTAGTTGATGTGACTGGAATAGTTGCTAATTCCTGGGCTATGCTTTGGAGAAGTAGGAGCAAAAATCATGCCATTCAATGAAAGAATATAAAATATCCCAGGAGAGCGATGGTGAACTTTTTAGAGAATGAGTGCCAGGCTACAAGCCTAAACTTACTTTTTGTTTTATTACAAAGTGCCAACACTGCAATTAAACCTGACCACTGAGGTTTTAGTTAGAAAAAACGTCTTTTGTCTTACAAGAAAAGAACTTAATCCCACAGATGCCATATGTTCGCCACATTGTCCTAGTAATTCCATTAGGTTTTTCATGTATAGTTGAAGAAATTTATCTCTTTTGTAAAATAAGAACAGCTATAGTAAACTTGCATTTTCCCTGTAAAAGAAACTTAGGTAGATGGATAGAAAAAAATGTCAACCTCAGTACTTTTGAAAAAAAGAATGATTATTTCACCAAATGTCATTTTAAAAATAATTATTTTCTTTTGTCTTTTTGGGACAGGGTCTCACTATGCAGTTAGGCTGGCTTTGGGCTCACTTTGTAGCCTAGGCTGGTCTTGAACTTGCAGTGATCCTCCTGTCTCAGCCTTCCAAGTGCTGGAATTATAGGCATATGCCACTGTGCCTGGCTTTAAAAATAAATTTAAAAGTCCTTGTTTTTTGGTACCAAGAATCGAAACTCACAACCTGCATTTGCCAGGTTTTGTGCCACTGAGCTATATCCCTGGCTAAAAAATAAATTGAGATGTCATTTGAAAATAAAGCTTTATGTAAGATAAATGAAAATAGAGAACCAAATAAAATTATAGAAAATGATTAATCAAAGTAATAAAGTGAATATATATTTCCTTAAAGAAAGACATGTTAAAGGTAAGTACCACTGCAGTAAGACAGATGTTTTATGCGTAGAGCAGAAAAGTCAAAATATGGGCAAGCAAAAGCAGATTAAAAATCACCTATAAACCATGGAGAAAACCACTGCACGCATGTATAATGAACAAAGGACCATACTATATGTATTCTTTTGTAATCTCTTTTTTTTTCAGCCAAAGTTTATATTGGGCACCATGTCATGTACTTAATGCACTTTAGGCATCGAATCGAGTGAACGCATGGCTGTGATGGAGTTAATGAATTTCCTGTTGTGGAACACTTATGTTTTTTTCTGTCATTATTATTATTTCACATAGGCCACACTGTGAGAATGGTTTCATGTCCTAATTTTTGCAGAGTCTTCATCATTTAGCAGATTTGAGTGTCTGATGCATATGTTCAATTAGGTTTGAAAGACTTGGAGTAAAAAGCAGTGCTTTTCGATATTTTTTTAAAAAATAGGCAATAGTGTAAAACAAAAGTTGGTGGAAAAGTAAGAAAAGATTTTATTTATGACAAAGCCAGTGGGCTATTCTTGTGTTTGGTTTTTCATTTTTCTTGGGTAAACAGAGCCTTGAACATCTTCCCCTCTGAGACTCCAGAGGCCCTCTACTTTCTTGCTTATACTATTATGCTATTTTCTTGGTGTCCTTGTTTCCTCGTCTTTTTGAAATTCTTTGCCATAGCAGCTGGACTTTTGGAAATCAGTCCATCCTTTCCTCTTCCCCAGCAGTTGTGGACTGTTTTCTTGGAAGTTTCCTTTACCACTGCTGTAGTACACATGTATTTTTTTCTGGGATTTTCTGAAAGTCAGTTGCAGTGTAGACTTCTGAGAATAATTAAATGTGACATTAATCACTCACTCAGACTTGCAGGATTTTAGAGAGAATTTTAATTTTAATTTTGTAAAGTGTGGTTTGGATTTCCAATGGTCTGAAGACTTGGATCCAAGAAGTTAGCACCTTCAGTTTGCAATGAACAGTTCATTAAAGCAGTATCTACAACCAGCAGAACTTGGGGTATTTGAACACTTTCTAGGAAGTAGGCAGCCATGGTTTATATTAACTATATTTCTTCAATGTCACAGTGTATTCTTCAGTAACATTTGTCTGCCCAAGTTCACAGTTTCTCTTTTTGCAACTCTTCTTTTATAATTGCTTTTTTTCCACTGCAAAAAGAAGACATATCTCTACTTGTTGTACATCTTTCTTAGTTCACTGCTTTTAAGGTAAAAACCTTCAGGATGTCAAAAAAGCATAGGGATAATTTAAAGCATCAATTTCAGAAAAGTGTGCAACCCCACCCCCAGCACCCCCGTGCAGAGGATTGAATCCAGGGCGTTGCACATGTTTGGTAAGCACTCTGCCTGTAAGCCACGCCCCCAGCATTGCACAAGCATTTTTCAATCAAATCACAATCTATTTCACCCAAACAATTCCTATGTCTAATTTTTAGTGATTGCAAAAGGAATAAAAATAAACAGTTTTAACCTATGCAGCATAAAGATAAATAATTTTAATTTGTTGTAGGGGCATAACCAAGTGATCAATTACAGATTTGCAATTATAAAAATATATTAGGCTAAAACTCTGAGGAAGAACTAAACTGGAACTGCAACTTTGATAGGAAAAAGAATTACATAAAATTTTTGACTGCTAAAGGAGATACTTTTCATATGTATTTTATAAGATGGATGATAGCTATAAAGTTGCTATGGCATTTTATCCAATTTTATAAATTTAGTAGAGTGTTTTAGCAGTTTTATTTTAAATTTGGCAATATTTACTCCATGTTAGAAAATAAGTCTATTGCAATTCTTAAGCTTATGGTTTTAGATGCCAACTCACATAGTTTCCAAAACTCCTTTAGGAATTGTAGGAGCAAAAAATATTGCTACCAACTTATATTATGCTTTGAAAAGACTTATTTAATTTTTGTGTGGTTAAACTGGGATAATTAGAAACTAAAAATGTAACAATGTCTGGTATGTAGTTATTCTTCATTATTATCTCTCCCTGGGACTCTACAATATTATCTCCTCTTTTCTTTAACAAGGTACTTCCGCTTGTACATTTAGCTTTTAACTCTGCAGTTTTTCTCAGCACAAAAGTTTTGTAATCTTTATTTACTTTTTTATCGGTACAACGGATCAAACTCACGACTGCTTGCTTGCAAGGCAGGTACTTATGCCGCTGAGCTAAATCCCCAGCCCCTCTTTGTTTACTTTTTACATTCTATTACCTCCTAAAAGCTCCTTGAAGGTAAAAGGTATGTTTGAGCAATTATGCTTTTCTTTCCTTCGAGGGCTTAAGTTAGCACTTAGGATACAAAAGTTGTTTAGCTCACATTTATTGAACTGAAGAAAGTAAACAAATCTGAATTACATGAAATTCTTAGATATTCTTAAGTTGTTTACTGCTTAGGGTTTATCTCATCTGACTAGTGAAAGCTTTTCCTTTGAATGTTTAATTGGTATGAATCCCAAAAGTTATCACCTCAAAAATATCAAAAAGTAAGTTTTTCAAGTTATCTTGGTAGTGTTACTTAGTTGTATTAAACATTTTTTAAAAATCTATGGCCAAGGATATAGCTAAGTCACAAACACCTGCCTGGCAAGTACAAATTCCTGAGTTTGATTCTCAGTACCAAAAAACTGAAATGTCTAGTGTCTTCTATAAATGAAAAGAATTAGAAAATATGATGTCCCTGTTTCTAAAACCAAATGTCAGGATATGTGCTGTCACATTATTTTTTGTGTCTCTTTTACATAGAAGAGTAATGTGGAAGGTTGAATTCATTGTTAATTTGACTGTTTTGTGGAGCAGCACACACAAATTCCTGATATTGGAACTATTTCAGTAAAACATAGAGCTTGTTATCTAATAATTTCCTAATTGTTTTTGAAAATTCAAAGGTAAATTCACTAATGCAGTTTAATAACTTATAACTTAAAGTTTGGTTTTCACTTTTTTTTCTTTTTTGAGGTGAGAATATTTTTATTTCAAAGAGAATAAAACAGAAGAACAAATCAAAACCTCATGTTGCATTTCAAAAGTAAGATGGCAGGGAATCTACCATAGTCACTCTATTGCATATTGTTATCCTCTAAATTTTTAATTGTGCTGGCTTTAGGCCTGCAAAGTCAATCAAACACTACAAGTTTTAGGTTTTTTCTCTACTTCACTTGCTATTGTCTCAGCCTGTGTTCCTCTGAATCAGCCAGTTGCTTCTGATGTGAGGGCATGGGCTTGTTATTCTCTCCCAGCCTGTACACCTCCTGGCTCACTGAGGGGAGTGTGGCTTCCATCATGGTTTTTTCCCTGGCTGGTGGGGCCTCTGCTGGCTCACAGGGTGGGACTGAGGGTGGGGCATGGCTTAAAGTTTGGTTTCCTAACCAACAACTTTTATGTCATGTGAGGGCTTATTAGAAATAAGGAGTCCTAGCCTTTACTTTGGACCTGCTAAATGAGAATCTTCTGTAATAAGATCCCTTCTTTACAAAAGATTCAAATGCACATTAAAGGTGAAGAAGCATTGGTCTAACATAATTGATAAATTGTATCTAGTGAAAAATCACATATCTAGTTCCAGAGGTTGGTGAGCAAACAGTAGATTGAGGCAATACAATCCATTGTTTTTTGAGTAAAGTTTTCTTGGAAGACTGACATGCCTATGTGCTTCTGTTGTAAACAGAAGGCTACTTTCATACTGCAGTGGCAGAGGCAGTAGTCATGACTGAGATTGTGTGGGCCTCTAAATTTTAAATATTAGCTCTTCTTGGCAGAAAAAGTGTTGAACCCTGTGCTAGTTGGTTTCATTCATTCATTCAACAAATTTATTTTGTGGAGAGTGCTTTCATGTGCCTAAGCACTATGCTAGATGGCATATTTGTACTGATAGGTGAAACCTTATTTTTATTATTCAAATTTCTTTTAGGGGAACATTTTTGTTGTGATTTCCTGGATTTCTAATATTGAATATAAAGTATAAATCCTAAAGAAGATCTGCTAACTTTTTTTCTTTCTTGAACTCGTAGATTGTAGGTTTTGTCTTAATTTTGGTTTTCCTAAAATAGAGCTTCTTTGTTTTGATTGAAAGGGCCACAGATATATTTCCTTTCTATTATTAGGGAACTGAGGTAGATCTGTGTAAGCCAGTCAGGCCCAAAAGGTTAATCTTTATTATTATCTCTAAATCTCTGGATAAATTGGGGGAGCTGGAAGAATTATTTTCATTGGACACATAATAAAATTGTTTAAACAGTGGTTACTTAGAAATACACTTGTGGAACTGTGTCTTTTAAATAGGACTAAACTTAAATAGGCATTCCTAAAGCTTCATCTTTGCAGTTTAAAATTGCTATCTAAAATGTTATAGTCTCTGAAGTGACTGCGTAATTCATCAATTTTTATACAGCGTTCATTTTTCAATACAAAATAGTAATAAAACATATTCCTCAATGTCTTAGCCCTTTCTAAAATTTAGATAGATGGCATTTTACTCTTGTAGACACTCAGTGTGCTTTGCTTTTATCTGTTGAACTCATCTAGCAGTGTGGTGTTTTGAGCCTTAAGCTATGTTGATTATACTTCTATTATTTTCTTTTATCACTTTGGAGTCTAACCTCCATTTACAGGAAAAGGAAGAGTTGGTCTTTTCTTTTCTTTCTTTTTTTTTTTTTAACATCCTTTTGAGTCTTTTAGGGGAATAAAGCAGTAATCAATTTCTTGTTAAAGGATGTTTTTGACACATTTTTACTGTGGATTTGCTATTTCATATGAAAAGAATGTCCACCAAGAAATAGATAATTAATCCAGATGGAATGTAGCAAAACTAAAAAGTGAATGTCTCTGTAGGGAGCTTTTTATGTCATTTTTTCTGCTCCTGCAGAGAAATCAATGGAGTTTGCATTGGAAGATATTGCTCCCCATGGGGAGGTATCTCAGGGAACCTGCAACTTCTCACTAGGGGGAGTGAAAAAGAAACCTCCCGTCCCTGGCAACTGAGTCCCTCAGGGGGCTTGATAGTCTAGATCAATCTGTCTAATAAATGCCTCTCTGTTTTTACTCATGTCACTTACACAACTGTGAGTCTTTTTTATTCAGATATCAGAATTATAAGTATGCATTACAAACTACCAAATAATTTCTCAGAAATACAGAATAAAAAGTCTTGTTCATTGTTTGGAAATGATGTAGTGATGTTCAGGGTTGTTAGTATGAGTGTTTGTACCATAAGTACAAATAATTTTGAGTACTAAAGCTGTAGTTTGGGATTTAAATGTTTCTTTGCATTCTTTGCCATGTACAAAACAAAATTTAATCAACTATAATAGAAATTTTCAAATTACTTCCTTTTAGATTATAAAGAACTTTAGAATATTCAATATTTATACCTACTTGTTTTTCTTTTACTATAAAACTGTCTTCATAATAAACTAAATACAGACATTAAAAGACTGAAATTGCTTAAATAAACCTATGCTAGTCATTTTTTAATACTTATAACCTTTAACCCTATATTATTAGGATAAGAAAGCATGTTATTTTTCCCATTGTTTCTGCTCCATCGATTGTGTCTTTTTAAACTCCCTCTTAGCTCCTGTTATTGTACTTTGGTAACAGAAGCATCCTGTTTTATGAATTGTGTGTACTGAATTAGCTTAAGAGGGCTGCACTGCATGATGATGACTTGAATCCTTTAATTGTGAAGGCTGTTTCTTTTACCTTCATTATGAAAAGGGCAAATAAGGCAGTTTTCATAGCCTAAAGCCTTTTATAAAGCTTTTCCTCTACTGGAGTGAAGAATTGGACAAAAGAAGTAGGCTATTCTCAGGAATTTCTAGAAATAGCTTTTGAAAGTAAAATTAGGAGATAGTTATTTGTTTGTCTGTAAAAGAACAGAGTCATTTTTATAGCATAGGAATTAGAAGCAAAAGCTTTAATTCTTTTTAGGATTCATTTTCCCCCCAGTGATTATAACAGCAATAGCCATCTTTTCCAGTTGTATAAAGCATGCTTGCATACAATTGTCTCAATATGGCCTTTACTCTGATTTCATGCTATACACAGAGCAGGTGTTACTAGTATTATTTCCATTTTGCAACTGGGGAAACAGACTGAGGGAGATTAATGACTGCCATAGGTACACAGCTACCAAATGGGAGAGCCTGGGGTTCCGACTCCAATAATGTGTTCTTTCTAGTACTGTATATCACAGTAGGTTCCCCTTGATATGCGTAGGTTCCCCTTAATCTGTACTGAGTAGTTTTGCTAAGATTCTTGTGGAAGAATAACAGAAAAACTATCACTCTCTTGTAGCAATGAACTATGCATGACGTAAGCACATAGAATGAGTTTTTCCAAAATAGACAAACTAAGAAGGATATTCAGTCATTTGTTTAAAAAAAACAACAACGCTATGTTTGTATTATTTCTAGATTTTTTCCCTGTATCTTTTAATTTTCCCCCCATCTTTTAATGTATAGTTTGCTTGTTTTGGTCTTAGTCTTGAACAGTGTATTTAGTATTGCAGGCTGGTACTTTCCTTAGCACTTTACAGACTTCATGCATGGTCTTCTGTACTTACTAATTTTTTGTTTTGTTTTGTTTTTAACCAGAGATTGAACTCAGGATCTTGAGCGACATCCCTCGCCATGGACTTACTAATTTTGAAATGTCTGTTGTTATTCTAAATTATTCCTTGACAGGCAGTCTATATTTTCTGAGTAAAAAAAGCTTTGAAGATCATGTGTTTTTTTTTTAATGTTTAACAATTGTACTATAATTATTCATATTTAAAAAAATTCTTTCTTCTATTCAAGTATAGATTCATGCCTTTTATTGATTTTGCAAAATTTTAGCCATTATTTATAATTGCTTTTTCCCTTATTTTTTAACCTGTTATTATTTATTTATTTATTTATTTATTTATTTTTTGAGACAGGGTCTTACTATGTAGTTCAGGCTGGCCTTGAGAGCTCAAGCTGGCCATGAACTTGCAACCGTCCTCCTGCCTCATCCTCCCAAGTATTGGGATTACAGGCATTTGCCACCCCACCTGTTATTTAACCTTTTATTTTGATACAACTTTAAGTATACAGAAAAGTCCAAAAAACAGTACAGAGAGATATGAAAATCGAATGGAATATTATTCAACAATAAATACTGATGCTTAGTACAAAATGAATGAATCTTGAAAACAATATGCTGAGTGAAACAACTCAGTTAAAATACTACATGCTATATGAAACTCTTTATAAGACAGTTCCAAGGTAGGTAAATTCGTAGAGATACAAAGGCTTGTGGTTGCCTTGGATGGTGAAGATTGGAAGGCAGGGAAGGGGCTGAAGAGTGAATAATGGATACAGTGGGTTTTTTGTGGTTTTACTTTTTGTTTTTTTCCTTCCTGAATACCATATAGGTTTTTTGGGAGGGGTAATGAAAATATTCAAAAATTAACTGAGGTAGTTATACAGCTTTGTGAGTACAAAAACCATTAAATTGTATACTTCATGGAAAAGTGTTTGATATGGAAATTATATCTCAAAAAGTCTTCTATTAAAACAAAAAAAGTTATGAATTTCCTGTATGTTTTTCATGCAGTTTCCTCTAATGTGACCATCTTACTTATATAACTAGAGAACAGCTATCACAAGTAAGAAATTAATATTAGCGCAATGCTATAAACTAAACATAGACTTTATTCATATCTCATTAATTTTCTTACTAAGGTGCTTTTATCTGTTTCAGAATTCAATTAAGTGTGTTTGTTCCAATCTGTGTCAGTTTGTGAGTCTCTCTAGCTTTCATGATTTTGATACTTTGAAGAGTTTTCATCAGTTATTTTATCAAATTATCTTCAATTGAGGTGTGCGCAATGATTTCTCATGATTCGACTTGAGGTTCAACAGTTGTGGCTGTCACACCAAGGAGGACATGACATTTAATACTGTTGATATTAACCTTGATGATTTATATTAATTTCTCTGCTACAAAGTTACTATTTTTCTTTTATAACTAATAAATTTCCCTGGAGAGACACTTTGAAATTATGTAATTTGTCTATCCTTAATCTTTTGCTCACACCAGTGCCTGTGACTAGATCATGCACATAGCACTGATTCCTGTGGTATGTGTTGGATGACAATCTCCTTATTGCTCTTAAATTTATTAATTTGAATTCTTTTTGTAAGGAAATACTACTCTCTTTCTATTTTCAATTATGCAATGAAGTCGTGGATGTTTATTTTGTGCTGCAATTTATGAGCTAATTATCACTGTTAATATTTGTTATTCAAACCACTCTACATTGTCTCTTGGAACTCTTTCTGTTTCCTGTGCTCTCTCAAGACCACATCTTTCTTTGAGCATCTCCTTATTTTCTGGCATAATATGATGCTCCAAACTGGGCATGGTGACATATGGTTACAATCTCAGCACATGGGAGGCTAAGGAAGGAGGATCACTGTGAGTTCAAGGCCAGGATGGGCTATATAGTGAGTTCAATGATCCTGTCTCAAAAAAAAAATTTTTTTTTTAGGCACACCATATGATGTTCCAGACTTATTTTCTCTATCCCAGCCCAGAAACCATCATTTCTACAAGGGTCATTTAAAAATTAAAGTTCTTTTGCAAATGTTGGTAAAAATGAACAAGCAGCTTGTTCAGTGCTGTATGACTCTGTTTAGTCAGCTCTCTGTTACTCTGATGGATACCCAAGGTACATTACTTAGAAAGAGCAGAAGTTTGTTTTGACTCACAGTATTGATAGTTTAAGTTCTTAATCAACCAATACTTTTGCTTTAGAGCCTGAGATGAGGCAGGAGCAGGTGATGAAGTAAATCCTCTTCAACCTGTGGGGGAGGCAAAAGGGTGAAGGGAGAAGAGACCAGGCTGTCACAGTCCCCTTCAAAGACCTGTCCCAGGAACCTAAAACCCCAACTGTGCCCCAACTATTGGCAATTTCTACCACTTCCTAACATCACCAATTTGAAGACTAATTCTTTAATGTACGGGCCTGTGGGAACATTTAAGATCTAATCTATAGTAGTAATTTTGAAATTGTTTTCTATGTTTTATAATTCTTGTATCTGGACTATGTTTAGGATAATTTACTGTCAATTGGGCCAATGAGTCCTATGACTTTTTAAAAAATTTAAATTGTTCTACTTATGCTTCATTCCTGGAAAGGAGAGGCTTTCCTTTCTGGAACTTGTTGCTGAAGGTCTTCACCCTGTGCCTCAGGATGTTTGTGGCAATGTGAGGGGCACTTTCATGTGGGATCTTGGCTTACAGAAGCACTCAAATGACAAGACTTTTTGACGGACTTCACATCTAAATTGTCTTTTTTCCCTTCCTGTAGGATATTTTTCTCTGGGATTGCTCATCAACTCCCATTAATATCTCAAACAGGATTCAACTGTTCTGCCTCCCGTCTCCTACCCACACGCTCCTCCCAGTTGCTTCCTTTTCTGTGTGGGTTGTCACAGTTTGCCCAGGCCTTTACCCTCAGCCATCTCGCTTTCCAGCATATTCTTTAAGCTCTTTCAGTTCATTTAGTCTCCACTTCAGATTTTTCCATTCATCAGTGTTCTGGTGCCTCCAGTACTTGATGAATACTGATAATCTCATACATACTTATTACGCTGCTAGGTGAATGGGGAACAAGAATCGGAAGATGTAGTCATTGCCTTTTAAGAACTCAATACCTAGTTGAGATAATTTCCATGCACGAAAATAGTGAACAATACCAGACAGTCTATAATTAAATGCTAAATGTGGTGGCACAGAGTTTTAAGTGTTAGAAGCTGGAATAACATGAGGATTTGCATTTTAAAATAAAGTTTAATTGAGGAAGCACAATTTAAAGTAGGTCTTCAAATGGCATAGGTTGGAATTAGGTAGACATTTAAAGTGAGTAGTAAACAGGAGGAATAAGTGAGTTTACTGAGCATAAAATTTTTGGGAAAGTGGGGGAATTTTTGTTTATATGTTATAGAGTAGTAAGGAATAGAAATATATATGAGGAAAGAAAGAAGTGCTTTGACTTTGTAAAAATTACTGCAAGAATCTTTTGGGAGTGTTTTTTCATTTTAAGTTTCTCAACTCAGAAATCTATAGAATTACTATTACTATTGATGCTATTACAAACTGCCTTGTTATTCTAGCTATTCTGAATACCAAGCTTTTAGTCACTAATATTGATGCCTTTTCATTACTACAATATGTTTTTATACATTCATTCATGTGCTTACCATATCCTTACATTACCTTTGCATGATTTCTGTCCATGTTTATCTTGGGTTCTTTCCCAAGACTAACCTCTTCCCACTCACTGGCACTTTTTTTTTTATTTTAAAGAGAATAAGATAAAGCAAAATACTACAGAATAAAGCCAATCAAAGCAAACTAGTGTAAGTGACACGGGACTTCAAAACAATAGGAAATCAACAGTGGTTACCATAATGCTTCTCATTGTCTTCAAAATAGCTACAGATACTTTCAGACATAGTGAAAATCAAACAAAACAGAACAGAATAAAACCAATAAAAACAAAATAATGAATGCAATAAAGGACTTCAAAACAAGATAATAGTAAATCCAAAACAAGGTAATAGTAAATCCAAAATGGTTACCATAATAGATCTTGTTATCTTTGGAATAGCTGCCCATGCCATTGGATATCATAAAACCAAACCAAACCAAACCAAACTGAACAAAACCCAACTCAGCACCAAAAAAAAAAAAAAAAAAAAAACTGAAAGAGGACTTCAAAACAAGACAATAGGGAATTAGCAATGGCTACCACCTTCAGAAGGAGACCTCCCATAGATGCTACATTGTGTGTTGTTATCCTCTGAATATATGATTAGTCTACCAGCTTTAGATCTGCAGTCAGTGAAACACTAAACACAAGTATTAAATTGTGCTTTACCTCAGTAGCTATCATCACAGCCTGTGTTTCTCTGGATCAATAGGTCGCTTATGGCGGGAGTGGAATTGGGGCTCGGATCTTCTTGTTTTCCAGCCTGCATGCTGAGGTCTGGCTGTCCCTTGGTGGTGGTGGCCTGCACATGGTGCTGGTTCACAGGGAGAGCTTGCGTCTTGTTGACTTCTTATTCTTTTCCCCTGCAGTCTGCAAATGGTGCGGAATCATGGGAAAAGGCTGGCATCAGGCTGTCCCCACAGCCACCCATGTATGGCACCAGTTTGCAGAGGGGCTTGCTTCTTAGGGAAAGAAGTGCTCATTGGCACTTCTTTCCTCCCTAGATTCCTCTTGAAACTGTTTTCTATTAAAATGGTTCAAATTAAATTATATAATGCAGAATGACATACAATTATATTTCTTTCTCATAGGTTCTTTGAAGAGTTAGCCTACATTTTATATTTCATTGTTCTGTTTAGTACTATCTACCAATCTGAGCATGTGCCTTCTACTGAGTTGGTAGCTTTTTAAGGATTAAAAAAAAAAGAAATTCAAGCATTGATAATTTGTAATATCAGAGGCATTTCTTTGTGTGAATGTGCTGTTACTATGCCTGTTACTGTGCTCTTAGTGAATATTAGTTGAATTCAAATCACATAGTGGATTCCAAATCAAAGACTGTTTGTTTCTTTGCTGTTTCATGGAAAGTAAAAAAATAAAACCACAAGCACTGAATCCAAGTTTTTAAACAGTCTTTCCTTTGAGCATCTCTTTAAATGTGCATCCCTTAAGATATACTGTTCATTTATCTTTGACATCTTTTCACTTAATACCTCATGTAGTTTTCCTAAATAATTTATGTTTATAGAAAGAGATAAATTGTGTATTAATTGCAATTAAGAGATTTGAGAAAGGCTAAACCTGGTTAAACTGTGTGTAATTGGTCTGGGTTGGCACTCTTCCTGCTTGAGTTCTAAAATTTTTATAAAATATCACATGAAAAAACCACAAAACTGTGTGCTGTAACTAGAATTGAACTTACAAGCATTTGGGGTTCCTTAAAACAAGCTATTGAAATCAGTAAAAACTTGTGTCAGAAAACTGATTCAGGTTGAAAATGATGCAACCATTTTTGTTGGCTTTAAATTTAATTTTAAAGTTTAGCAGCTTCTTAAAAATCTGAGCTCCTTTAAAAGCTTGTAAGATGATTTCATTGAGAATACTTGATTTATATTATTAATACCTGATTTTCTAGATGGCAATATAGTTTCCTCAGACCTGAAAAACTATTAAGAACTGACTTTAGAAGTATGCTGGTGTTATCTGGCCATTTTATTTTATTTCGCAGAGTGGTTTCTCAACAGTATATGTATAGCTAATCTGGAGTGTGTGTGTGTGTGTGTGTGTGTGTGTGTGTGTGTGTGTGTGTGTGTGAAAGCACGTGTGTGCGCACGTGTGTGTGTGTGTGTGTGTGAGTGTGAGAGCAGGGTTGGGGGACAATGAAAGTTACTACTTGAGTAACCAAAACAAAGTAATAAAAAAGCAATTGTGTGTAGCAGACTGGATCATCAACAGTTTATGTTGTTTTAAAATTATATTAGAAGAGATAGTGCCTTATTAACTCTTAATTTCTCAGAATGTCCTTGTTTTGTTTTGTTTTTTGTTTTTTCTTGTTTCCTTATGAAATATAGTACTCTGATCTAATGGCTTTATAGGAGCTGGGATTTTGTAAGGTATTGACTTTTTAAATTTGTTTCACAGGTCGTTTGCATTCGTTCCACTTGGAATGCTCTCTCCCCAAAGCTGAGTTGTGACACAAGACCTCTCATTTTGAAAACCCTGAGTGAGCTATTTTCTCTGGTTCCTTCCTTAACTGTTAATACAGCTGAATATGAGGTATGCATATGCTTAATAAATGGTCTCTTTTTACTTTAGAAATATGTGTGACATCATAACTTCTATAGGAGTAAACATTTAAAATCTTTTGTTTGACAGAAATTCTTTAGCAAGTTTTGTTCTGAGAACATGTTGATGTTTTTATGAACCACTAGGAAAAGGAAGATATATAATTTTATATCTGAGTCTTTGTGACTTACGAACATAAAAGATACCAAGTTTTAATGACAATATAGTCAAGGTTTTAAAATGTATGTTTTTAAAAGTTTTTTCTTAAATAATATAGTTTGTAAGGCTAACAATTTAAAATAATTTTGTTACTGTTTTAAGGTCTAGAGAATAAGTCATGAAGACATTAGTACAGGCAGGATGGTTCCCAGTGTTATGAATTACTCAGCGTTTGTCATTTCAGTGTCTCTTTGAAACACTTGGTGGGAGCCTTGCTATAGATTCATACATTGCTTCTTAGCATTCTCTACATTATGTCTACATGAGTGAAATGAATCAGAGGATGGCAAGTGACATTTACGTCTCTACTTTTGGAAGCTATGGTCTCATTCACTTGTACCTTTGCTGCTTTTCCCTCAGAGAGCAGCAAGTGACTTTTCACTTGGAGTCTTGCTGAACCTTTAGGTTGACTGAATGCTTCACAGCCTTTGACAAACTATCACATCGTAAGAGTCTAGTACTAGTCTAGTACTAGTAAAGAACTATTGTTCTTTTTTATTTTTACACTTTTTTTTTTCTTTTTTCTTTTTATCGGTACCAGGGATCGAACTCATGACTGCCTGCTTGCTAGGCAGGTGTTTATGCCACTGAGCTAAATCCCCAGCCCCTGAACTATTGTTCTTTATATATTTTAGATCATACGATTAGAAAGAATTATAGGAAAGTATTTTTCTAACTCTAACGCTCTATAGTGAATAAAATCAAATTTGTCTTGGCTGAAGTTAAATTGGTAGTACAGTGTTAGATACCTAATATATATTTGGTAAGTAATTATTGAATAAATGACTAAACCAATGAAAGTATCTTGAGTTTATTCTGATGTGTGGGCTTTTCTTACAGGGTATTAACAAATAAATTTCTGACTTTTAGTGTATGTAGTTCAAGGGAGCTAGGGACTTAGCTTAGTGGCGTAAGTGCCTGCCTGGCAAGCTCAAGGTTGTGAGTTCCATCCCAGATACCAAAAACAAAACAAAACAAAAAAAAAAAAAAAAAACAAAAACCAGAAACAGTATGTAGTTCACCGACAGGGTTTTTTATTTTTATGACTATAAATCTTGGGTACTAGTCAGAGAACTCGCAGGGTTATATAAGGAGCAAAGACAAAAACCTCAAGTAAGGGCATATTGTGCAGTTATATTCTGTCTTTAAGAGATGAAATTATACACTTCTGCTCTGCTGTTTTACTACAGGGTAACGTATGGAGTAGTTTTTGCGTTAGTTTTTTACATTTGTTTATCCATGGATATGAATTGTCTTTTGGACTAGATTTTTTTTCAGAGTTTCCATTCCTCTGGTTGGCTTTCAAGCTAATGTATTATTAAACTTCCTGTGTTATTCAGATAGACTGCTTTGGGGCAGTTTCATCCAGCTCTTCATTCCCAGTCCAGAGACCTGGCTTCAGTGACAGTCCCATTAGAAACAGAAGTGATGCAGTTTTGAAGGAAAGACATTCCCCTCTGTCTTTTTGGTCCTCCCTATCTCTTCTTTTATCTCCTTTCAATCCTGCTCTCTGGACTTCCCTCTGCCTTCTTGTACTTCCATCTGCCCTTCTATCCTTTCCTCTTCTCTTATTTGTGTTCAGATAATTTGTTGTTGTTTTTTAGCTGCTGAGCAGTGACCTGGTCATCAGCCAGAGTTGAACTTAGTTTTCCAATGCATTTGTAGCCCCTGTCACATCAGTGCCTGTGTTCAGCTAAAATGAGCCAGCAGGCTACACTCTATCAACCTGTACCCTGCGTTCCAGAAAAATGAAATCACTTGTCATTTCCCTGTGTTCCTTCAAACTTTTCTGTTTCATTTCTTTTGTTCATGTGTCCCCTCTGTCTAGACACCTTTCTTACCTCTGAATTTAAAATCTATTTTAGGAAATAATTGTTTTAACTTGTCTCATCCTTTGAAACTTTGTCTCTAAGCCAAAGTCTGCTGCTCTTGAAATTCTTTATTCCATTATAGAGCTTTAATTCTTTGTTATACTATAGTTATATGTATACATATATTAATTTTGTCCATTAACCAATAATTTGTTGAAAATAGCACCCATGATTCAATTATAGTTTGGTTTTTGAGCTGTTTTGTACTATATCTGATATACTTATTCGTTGACTCTGAGTACATTAATGATAACTGTACTAGGCCTTGGAAATATAATAATACTATGTACTATTTTGTGAATGCCTATGAAATTTCCAATACTTTCCTAGTTAATTTGCACTGATTGGCTCTAAAATCTGATGGGGGGGCTGGGGATCTAGCTCAGCGGCATAAGCGCCTGCCTTGCAAGCAGGCAGTCCTGAGTTCGATTCCCGGTACCGATGAAAAGGAAAAAGACCAAAAAAAAAAAAAAAAAAAAAAAAAGATATAAAAAAATCTGATGGGAAGTTTAAAAACTTTTAAAAATTGTATAACAGAAAATACTAGCGAGGCCTATCCATTTATTAAACCAATATTCATTGCATATCTAATCTATATCAGGCAAGTAATTTAACCAAGATTTTAGTGACTAAGTGAAAGCTAGTGTCTGAACCCAGCACTCTCTAGCTACATACCATGTATTTCCTTAGGATTACCATGTTGAGAACTTCCAGAAGTTCAAAAGTTAAAAGGGGTAGATGTGAGCAATGATAATTACAGCATTTGATGATTACAGTTAACCAAAGGTCAATGAGTGTGGTGGAGGAAGTAAAACATTTACGAGGAATCTAGGGAAACTTTAGTCATTAGAGTGTAATGTTGAAAAATTATTGTGATGCTGCTTCTGATTGAAGTTTGAAGATTAGGGTATGTAAAGGCAGGAAGATATAGAAGAATTATATATGATTTACAAGGGCAAGAAATTAAAAGAAATGACCAAAATGAAGGAGTCTATGAGTCTTGGAAGACAAATACCTTTTTATACTAATCAGTTATTTATTAAATATTTGCCATTTTTATGGAGCTATTCTGGGCTGTGTTCTATGTCTTTCAAATGAAACAGGACACAGTCACTGCCCTAAGCAGAGTACATTGTAGTAAATCATACCAGATGATAAAGTGTCCCACATTCCATATGGCTGTTCAGAGAAAAGTAATCTCTGTCCTTGGAAGGAAATTAGGAGCAGTGACATGACAGAGTGACATTTGTAGTAGTCCTTGAAGGATCAGTAAAAAGTGCTTAGTTTTGTAGACCTAATAATCTTAAATTTTCAAAGTGTTTAAATTATCAGTGTTTTTAGGTGATAAGTCTCTTCTGAGTATTTTCACTGTGTTTTGTTTTAGTACTGGGGATCAAACTCACAGCCTTGTGCTTGTCAGGCATGCACTTATACCTCTGAGCCAAATCCCCAGCCCAATATTTTCATCTTTTGAATGATAGGTAAACACAGATTGAGTTAACACTGATAAAAGCTTAAAAATAGTCTGATTTCTATTATTTTTTACTTCACATTTCCTAGTCTCAGTTTTAATTTTGTCTGAAAACTTT